TGTGGTTTCAATTTCACAACATCGCCAACATCTTCTTCCTGGCCATCATCATTCTCAATGTGAGTTGGCTGCGCAATCCAAGAACGCTGCCAAAGCCTGACTTCTCGCGTGATACAGTTCTTCTCCGTCTTCGGGGCCACTAATCCGGGCCTCTCCGCCGTACCGCTGATTGTCATTATATTACTCACAGCCATCAAGGACGGCATAGAAGACTGGAGGCGGACAACCGTCGACAACGAGCTGAACAATGCATCGGTCCATCGCCTGACGGACTGGGATAATGTCAATACCGCTGACGAGTACATTAACCCTTGGCGCAGGGTCAAGAAGGCGACCACTCGTGGCCTGATGTGGGTATGGCGCAGTTGGCGGAATCGGAAAGAGAAGAAGCAGGCCAAGCAAGCAAGTACGGCAAGAGGGCTCACTGAGGGCGGGTTTGATGATTCGCCGGAGTCAGACTACGACGACAGGCGTTTCAGCGAGCTGACGCAGCGGCTGGACAAGGAGGAGAATCAGACAGGCGAGGATGCGAATGGCGATGTGGAGATGGCGCCTGTACCATCTCCGATATTGGGCCAGCAACGGAGCGGCGACAAGGGCTACATGGACGGCGTTGATGAGGTTCAGCTCCCCAATCAAGCTGCTGGGCGTGGAGACGCACATCAGACACTCGAGGTGCCAAGAGACAACCGACAGCCGGACGTGCCGGTGATCACAAAGAAATTCTACGGGAGCTTAATCGATCCGACGAGAGAAACGCAGGAGAAAGGACGTTTCAAGCGGGACATGTGGAAGAACGTCCAGGTCGGCGATTTCGTGCGGCTGTACAACGAGGAGCAGATCCCGGCCGATATCATCGTCCTGTCGACCAGCGACGCGGATGGTGCATGCTATGTCGAAACGAAGAATCTGGACGGTGAGACCAACCTCAAGGTGCGCACTGCGCTCCACTCAGGAGGCAAGGTGAAGCGTGCCCGCGACTGCGAACGAACAGCGTTCACGCTGGAGAGTGAGCCGCCACATGCGAACCTGTACGCCTACTCTGGTGTAGTCAGGTGGGAACAACGAGACCCAGCGCATCCGGACGACCCATCCAAAGCAATGGCCGAACCGGTCGGCATCAACAACATGCTGCTCCGCGGCTGCACCCTCCGCAACACCGAATGGGTAGTAGGAATCGTGGCGTTCACGGGCGAGGAAACCAAGATCATGCTGAACTCCGGGATCACACCCAGCAAGCGCGCCCGCATCTCCAAGGATCTCAACTGGAACGTCGTATACAACTTCATAATCCTCTTCGTGATGTGTGTCGTCGCCGCCGTCGTCGAAGGCAACACCTGGGCGCACGGCAACGAGTCCCTCGACTTCTTCGAATTCGGCTCCTACGGAAATACGCCCGCCCTCGACGGCTTCATCACCTTCTGGGCAGCAATCATCCTCTTCCAGAATTTGGTCCCCATCTCCCTCTACATCTCCCTCGAAATCGTGCGCACGGCGCAGGCCTACTTCATCTACTCGGATACGTACATGTACTACGAGAAGATCGACTACCCGTGCACGCCCAAAAGCTGGAACATCAGCGATGACCTCGGCCAGATCGAGTACATCTTCTCCGACAAAACAGGCACACTAACGCAGAACGTCATGGAGTTCAAGAAGTGCACCATCAACGGCACGCCGTACGGCGAGGCCTACACTGAAGCCCTCGCAGGTATGCAAAAGCGGCAAGGCATCGATGTCGAAGCCGAAGGCCGCCGCGCCCGGGAGCAAATCGCCACAGACCGCGTGACGATGATCGAGCGCGTGCGTAAAATGCACGATAACCCCTACCTCCAAGACGACGAACTCACCTTCGTCGCCCCGGATTTCGTCGCGGATCTCGGCGGCGAAGGCGGTCCCGCGCAACGAGCGGCATGCGAGCGCTTCATGCTGGCGCTCGCGCTGTGCCACACGGTCATCACGGAGCGCACGCCGGGGGACCCGCCGAAGATTGAGTTCAAGGCGCAGTCGCCCGATGAGGCGGCGTTGGTGGCGACCGCGCGGGACGTTGGGTTTACGGTCATGGGGCGGTCGAACGAGGGGATCATCATCAATTGTTTGGGGGAGGAGCGCGAATACACTGTGCTGAATACGTTGGAGTTCAACTCGACGCGGAAGCGAATGAGTGCTATCATGCGCATGCCGGATGGGAAGATTGTGCTGTTCTGCAAGGGCGCGGATAGTGTCATTTACTCGCGGCTGAAGAAGGGCGAGCAGCCCGAGTTGAGGCGGCAGACGGCGGAGCATTTGGAGATGTTCGCGAGAGAGGGGCTGCGCACGCTGTGTATCGCGCAGCGCGAGTTGGGCGAGGAGGAGTACCAGAAGTGGAATATCGACCACGACCTCGCGGCCGCGGCCGTGCAGGAGCGCGAGGAGAGGCTTGACGCCGTGGCAGATACCATCGAGCGGGAACTGACGCTTATTGGCGGGACGGCGATTGAGGACCGGTTGCAGGACGGCGTGCCGGACGCGATCCAGTTGCTGGCGCAGGCGGGCATCAAGCTTTGGGTGCTGACGGGGGACAAGGTGGAGACGGCGATCAATATCGGGTTCTCGTGCAATCTGCTGAACAACGATATGGAGCTCATCGTGCTGAAGGTCGACGACGAGAATGTGCAGGCCGCGGAAGGGGCGCTGGACCAGGAGCTGGCGAAGTTTGGGAAGAGCGGCTCGGACGAGGAGTTGAAAGCCGCGAAGAAGAACCACGAGCCGCCGGCGCCGACGCACGCGTTGGTCATCGATGGGGATACGCTGAAATTGGTGCTCGACAACCGACTGCGGCAGAAGTTCCTGCTGCTGTGCAAGGAGTGCAAGTCCGTGCTCTGCTGCCGGGTCAGTCCGTCGCAGAAGGCGGCCGTGGTGCAGATGGTCAAGGCCGGGTTGGAGGTCATGACGCTGTCGATTGGGGACGGGGCGAACGACGTGGCGATGATTCAGGAGGCGGATGTCGGGGTCGGGATTGCGGGCGAGGAGGGCCGGCAGGCAGTCATGAGCTCGGATTATGCGATTGGGCAGTTTCGGTTCTTGACGCGGTTGATGCTCGTGCATGGGCGGTGGAGTTATCGGAGGCTGTCGGAGACGATTGCGAATTTCTTTTACAAGGTGAGTTCCGCCAACTATCTCCCTGATTTCGTATGGGTGGCTGACATGTGACTGCGCAACAGAATATCGTCTGGACCTTCGCCCTCTTCTGGTACCAGATCTACACCAACATGGACTGCTCCTACGCCTTCGACTACTCCTACATCCTCCTCTACAACCTGGCCTTCACCTCCCTCGCCCCGATCTTCATGGGCATCCTCGACCAGGACGTCAACGACAAAGTCTCCCTCGCGGTGCCGGGGCTCTACCGCCGCGGCATCGAGCGCGCCGAGTGGACCCAGCTCAAATTCTGGACCTACATGGCCGACGGCTTGTACCAAAGTCTCATCTGCTACTTCTTCACCTACCTCATCTTCCGCCCCGCCAACTTCAACACCGAGTCCGGCCACGTCATCAGCGACTACAAGCGCATGGGCGTCTTCATCGGCAACCCCGTGGTGGTGGTGGTCAACATCTACATCCTGCTCAACACCTACCGCTGGGACTGGTTCATGTGCCTCATCACCGGCATCTCCATCCTGCTCATCTTCCTCTGGACGGGCGCCTACACCTCCTTCACCGACGGCTTCACCTTCTACGGCGCCGCCAAGCAGGTCTACGGCTCCCTCAGCTTCTGGACCTACCTCCTCCTCACCGTCGTCCTCTGCCTCCTCCCCCGCTTCTCCGCCAAGGCCTTTCAGAAAATCTACTACCCCCGCGACGTGGACATCATCCGCGAGGAAATCCGCCAGGGCAAATTCGACTACCTCAAGGACATCGACGCCGCGCATCTCAACCCCCTCGCCACGGCCCAAAAAGCCGAATCCACCTCTTCCTCCTCCGAGGGGTCGAAACCCTCTGACCGCAATACCGCGGCGAAGAAGGATAAGACACCGCATCAGCACGCCCTCTCCGACGATATGCGCCCCATGTACCCCCCCTCCCTCGCCGCGACCGCCACCACCCGCGGAGGCGGAGGCCAAGGCGGCGGCGGCGGTGGAGGAGCGGACAACACGCACAGCCAGAACGGCAGCGACGGCACGGACTACACCGGCCACCGCTCCTCTCTCGACCGCGCTTTCCCTCCTCCCTCAGCCTCCTCCTCAACTCCTCACCCCCAACATCAGTCCTCCCACTCCGTCCCCTTCGCCACTGGCACACTCTACCACCCCTTGGCGCCGGCGATCACGGCCGAGGATCTCGAGGGCCCGCCGCCGAAGAGGAACTCGTTGGAGAGGCCGCGGCCGAGTTTCGATCGCTTGCGGTCGAGTATGGATCGCACGCGGCCGAGTATTGAGAATAGTCGGGATTTCACCAGCGCGGCGTATTTGGCGCGGATGGAGAGTAGTGAGTCCCGAGGAGGAGGAGGAGGTCTGTCGGCGGGGGAGGTCGTGGGTGGAGCAGGGGGAGTGGGAGCGGGGGTAGGGGCGAGTCGGAGGCGGCGGGATGTCAGTGAGGATTTGTTGAGATGAGATGAGCTTTGCTGAAGTGGGAGAGATTGATGGGGAGGCTGGGTGTTGGGGTGGGCTTTCGTTTGGGTGTGCCTTTGGTCATGCGTGGCGTGGCGTGAGGTGTTCGTTTTAGACTACCTTTAGGGCGGCTTTGTATATAGGGAGGTGAAAAGACTCTTGAATCGTTCAAAAGGGCGACGGTCTCCCTTTCATCGTGGTGTTGATGGGGGTCGACATTGCTAGCAAGGTCTGAGGCTTCTCTGTACAGAACGAATCGACGGTAAGGTAGGTAGGTAGGTGGGTACGTGAAGTGCGTCAACTAATGAAGACCCATCGCCTGGCTACTCACAGCATACATGCCCCTGCGGTCGACGTCTGGGATACCAAAAAATGCCAAAAGAATAATTAATGTACTGAATTGAACAGCTATGACTCCCGCGGAGAGGTTCGAACTCTCAACCTTGAGATGGTCTTTAGAGCAGAGCTGCTTAAAAGTCTCACGCGCTAGCCAATTGTGCCACTGGAGTCCCATTAGAAATGATTTTCATTTCGGTAAGTTTCGGAGAAGATTTACCGCGGGACTGCACCAGGTGCAAGTTGTTGGTTCAGCAGAGCGGTGGAGCCAAATTTAACATATACTGCCAGATTTTTGGCCGAAGATTAGCCGGATGGATTGCCCCCTCTTTGGATGTTTTTTCGTGCCCAGACCTGGCTCACAATGAGGAGTGGGATAGATCGCACGGAGGCTGCACTTGGAGATCTGTGCTTCACTACTGTGGCGACTGTGTAGGTGAAGTCGAAGAAACGCCAAGCCCCGCTGGCTTTCCCGCAAGAATTGGTTGATGGGCGACGAAACAATCATCAGACAACGACCTGGGATCTGGGATCTGAGCAGAAAACAATCAAGATGGCAAACGGCACAGCCAAGCCACCCGGTCTGGCCTTCTCGCGCGAAACATTCGCCAAGCTCACACCCGGCCCTTTCCTTCAAGCCCACCTCCAGCAGCCGGAGCCCATCCGACCCAACGGTAGATCTCTCGACGCATTCAGAACTCCAACTATCCACACCGGCTCACTGAGCCACAGCAACGGCAGCGCAGTGGTGCGACTCGGCGACACCGCGATCGTCTGCGGCGTGCGTGCCGAGATCTTGCTCGCTTCCGATATTCCGCATCCACCCGGCGAAGACACCAGCGAGGACGATCTGGTCGAGCGGCTGGGACTGCTGGTGCCGAATGTGGAGCTCAGTACTGGGTGCTCGCCGGGTCATCTGCCAGGAAACCCTCCGAGTACGGTGGCACAGGCGCTGTCGTACCGTATTCTGTCTTTGCTGCATACTTCGAACCTGATCAATGCGGATGATCTCAGGATACTGTATACGGAGCCCGCGAGTGAGGATGATTTGCCGGATGAGGGTTCCAAGGTTGTGACGAAAGCTTTCTGGGCGCTTTACATAGACGTCTTGTGCATTGCTCTCGATGGGAACCCGTTCGACGCGGCTTGGGCGGCTGTCATATCTGCACTGAAAAGCACACAACTGCCGAAAGCTTGGTGGGATCCGGATCGCGAGATGATACTGTGTTCGCCACTTGCCACCGAGACACACGGACTGCGACTGGATGACATACCAGTCGCTTCGACATCCGCGGTGTTCAGCACAGGCTCTGCGCTCAAACAGCGCAGTGAGGCTGAGAGTTGGGTGTTGGCTGACCCCGATGGCTTTGAGGAGGATGTATGCTCCGAAACTGTGACTGCGGTCGTGAGGTCTAACGATGGAGGTGTGGGGAGCATTACGAGGTTGGAAAAGTCTGGGGGTGGTGCGATTGGCAAGGCTGCTATGGGGCGATGTGTTCACATGGCGCAGCAGCGATGGCGAGAATGGCAAGGAGTATTGCACGGTGGATGAGGGGGCTGGATCTGGGTTGAGAGTGTGATGGCACCAATGGTATGCCCGCTGGGGCAGACAGAGTACTTGCCGAAGATTTCCCAGTGCCTTGTCTGCGATCGACTTTCGATGTTGTGGTGATACCCAACAACCGGTACTTGGGGCGGTCTGTGTGCGTCGGGGAAGACGGGCTGAGACAAGGAGCGCTGCGGAGTAGGCGTCGTCACCCAAGACTAATAACCCAGCATTACGGCGATAGCGGTCGAACGCTGCTCCGAAGCCGCAGCGCTGTACCTCGCAATTACACACACAGCTGGGAAAGACGAAGTATTCCAGAAGCACGACTTCGCCCTGGCTGCTTGGATTCTGACGGTTGCGGCCCCAACACATCCTGTTATAGACGAGTACATCGTTAGGAATCCTGTCATGCATTCGGTTCCCGACTGATCGGACATTACTTTCGCTCTCAGCTCGATACGTTCGCCAGGGAAAAGATGGACCGGCTCCATGACTACTGGCGGCTTTCCATCGGTCATACCGCTGGGCATGGGCACGGTATGAGGTTGAGTTAGTAAGATGTCAACGCCATCATAGCCAATCACGTGTAGTAGCATACAATATTACATACATGTAGGGCTGGCTAAGCAGGCTGAAGAGAACCAGCCAATCACAGTATCGTTGACGTTGAAGGAGCAGCACCCTGGCAACAACAGATCTTCGTATATTCCACCCGACTATTCTCGTGCCTACCCGAAACATACATTCTCACTGCGATCGTCAAATGTGAGGGACAATTTGAGTAGCATGCGCAGTGCACCGGATCTACGTAAAACCGGCTCATCAGACGGACACAAGCACTAGGGTAGCCGTCGGCTTTCGGACGACAAAACCCGCTTACACAAGCCGAGCTGTTTCCTGTATGGGACCAACATGGCCACGTACACAACGTAGCCAGTCTATAATCTGCCCAGTGGCTGTACCTTGTAACAAGCCCGCCGCTCAGGGCCGGCATAGGTCAACATGCCGGTCTCCATGGCAGGCCATAAAGAGCCTCAAGACCTGGCCGTAGTCTCGAGCAGACTAACAGTACCACTCCCAATCTTCAAAGCCTTCGCATTGATCTCTACATTCATGAGTACCCAACCCAACCCGCCCGCCAAACGACGGGGCCGCCGAGCCGGAGTGAAAGTCCCCTGCGACGACTGCATCGCCCGCGCCAGCCAAATCCACGACAAAACCGCCAACATCGAGCTCTGCGAGATCTGCACCGCGGTTCTCCACGGCCAGCGCAAGAGACCCCCCCACGAAGCCGCGAACGTCCGCCGCGTCCGCCGCCAATCCAACGCCATCATCGACGTCGCGCTGGGACCCTCCACCATGGACCCGGTCACTCTCCCCTGGAGCGACGACCGCCACGAACAGCACGCCCTGCAGTTTTTCGTGCGGAACAGTGCGCCCCAGCTCGCTGGGTACTTCGACTCGCCGTTCTGGCAGCGCATGGTGCTGCAGGCTGCGCGAGGTGAGCCGGCGGTCAAACACGCCGTCGCTGCTATCGGGTCGTTGCACGAGAAGCTGTTGACGGGCGCGGTCAATAACCCCGAGACTGACCTTAGGGAGCCGAGGGCGCGGTTCGCGCTCGAGCAGTGCAATAAGTCGATCCAGCACCTTATCAAGCCTCGGGAGGGAGAGAAAGGCCCGGATTTGCGGTTGATGCTGACTACTTGCGTGCTGTTCACGTGCTTTGAAGCGCTGCAGGGCCACTGCGAGCAAGCTATCACGCATGCGACGCAGGGGTATAGTCTGCTGCAGCAGTATGCGATGGATCCTGGTAACGAGCGCTGGGACGTTGGGGCTTTTGCTGTCGAGCTCGATCAGCTGTGTATGCTTATGCAGAGGCTGCAGACACAGTCTAAGGGGTTGTTGGGTAAGGAGTTTCGCGTTCCTCCGGCCAGGGATATGTTTTATGCGCAGAGACCTGTGCATTTTAGCAGCCTGACGGAGGCTCGTTCGGGCTTGGAGCTGGTGTTGAATCAGTTGACGATCTTCTTTATGGATCTGGAGCTGGATGATGAGTTCTACGATATGGCTGTATCGAATGCGGAGAAGCATCTGCTCTTCGGTGCGTAGCCTTGTCCAAGATTCTATCACACATGCTGACGTACCGGACCACAGGACCATGGCTGGAAGACTGGGAGAAGACCTTCTCCGCCTTCCTTCTCCAGCAGCAAGCATCATTCGACGATCGAGACCGCAAAGCAGCCATGATACTCAAAGCGCACCATCTTGTCGGCGAGACCCTGGCTCAAGTCGACCTCGCACTCGGTGAGCTCGGATGGGACGCTTTCCGGCCGCAATTTGCTGCTATCGTCGACCTGGCAACGGCGGTGCTGGAGGACAGCAACAAGAGCGACGTCTCCGTCATTGAGGCTAGATGGAAGACTGGTGGCGTTTTCATCTCGTCTACTTCGGCGACGCTTTCGTTCACGCTGGGTATCGTGGATCCCCTGTTCGAGGTGTGTTCGCGCTGTCGGGATCCGGTGCTGAGACGCAAGGCGTTGGATTTGCTTGCGAGGCACCCAAGACAAGAGTGTATGTGGAGCAGTTGGTCGGCTTGGAAGGTTGGCAAGGTATGTTCCACGCCATGACGGGGTCTGGTCGACTAACCGCTGATGATGCCGTATAGTTCATACTCCGTCTCGAGGAGGACGGCGCCGACAGTCCCGTGAAGCAGTCTTCCGACGTCCCGCTGAACAGCAGGGTAACGGAGTCCTGGCTCGACTTCTCCGACAAGTCATCCGCGGACTCAGCCCGGGGTCGAGTGATGTACAAAAAAGCCATCCCACGGGTGACGCCAAGAAGTGCGCTCAACCCCGGCTTGTTCGAAGGACAGACCAGCGAAGAGTCCGGCCTCTTCATGGGTATGGCAGACGCGGGCGTTGGGCCTACGGGCCTCGATCCTGATGTGGGCAGCTCGGCAACAGGCACGTGGGCTACGCGGCCGGAGTTGCTGACGTGGGAGGACTTCGATACGGACTGGCAGGCATCTGGAACCGAGGGTCACCAAGGGTACTCGCTGGACGAGTAGACGGTCGCGGTATGCAGGGTTGGGTCTCGTCACATGGACATGGTCACGATGGCTACGAGCGAGTGAGACTAGGCGTACAACGCTCGCACTCCATCACATCGATGGTGGCGTGGATGACACCTGTCAATCGACTGCTGTGCCCTCCTCTCTACGAAGATGGAGGCAAAACGAAGCGACTGGAGCAGCTGAGGGCTTCTAGTAGCGCAACGGTCGTGCACCGCGTGAACTTATAAGCACGCAGGAACCTTCTCAAGACGTCAGTCGTCGCCACATCGCCCTCCCCTACCTGTTCCAGCTGACAATTCCTGGAACAGATTCTCGTCGCCATCGGAAGCCCTCGCAAGCCGATCATCTTCGACCTCGGACATGCCCCCTCTCGCGCGCAAACCGTCCCTCTCACGGCGCGGCAACCCGCCTTCAATCGGCAGGCAGCCGCTCGCATGGCGCTTCCGCAGCTCGCATAAACGGGCAATCATTGCCACGTGGGATCTGTGCTGCAGCGAGCTGCGGTGACCGCACAAGCTCGGCCTCCGAATGGCGGGAAGGGGATATGGGTGG